ATAGCCCTATCCATAAATAATGAAAAGAAATAATTCATTATACAGTACAGAACCCGTTATCCGGAAATCAGAAAACCGGAAAACCAAAAAACCGGGACGAAATTCAAAAAATTTTCCATTTTTTTTTAAAAAAAAAATTTTCTCATAAGATTTTAGGATTTTTCTTTCTTTTTTGAAAGATGTTTACCTTACCATCATTTTGGAAATAATCATTTGTGTATTACTTCAGCGTTTTTTCTTCTTTTTAAGATAATTTACAATTTTTTTTTTGTTTTGTTTTAGTTTTTAACAATAAAAAAGCGGCTTTTTGTAGCGATTCAGAAAACCGGAAAAACCAGTTATCCGGAATAGCGATGGTCCCGATCGTTCTGGAAATCGGTTCCCTACTGTACTATTAAGTATCTTAAATTAATTATTTTTTTTAATTTAAATTTCTTTCATAATAACTTCTAAAATCCTGAAAAATAACTGTGTTTAAATTAATATTTATCTATTATTAAAGTAATATTTATTAAATAACTGTATATTTTTTTTAGAAAATTGCACTATCTTTAATAGATTATGCTTATTCTCATTTTTGCAAAGCATACACCTAATCAATATTTTAATTCTTAATATTTTTAAAAAGTATGTTTCCACTAATTTTCTATCTTTTTTTTTCAGCTTTAAACCTATTCAAAGTACTGTTAAAATCTGAACATGGACCCTTATGAAAAGCCACCTCCTTATTCACCTCCCGGTAAGGATTTTGGATTTTAGGTTTTCAAAACTAATTTTTTCTCTGATTTTTGATTTAACATTACTCTAAAATATGGACCGCTTCCAGTGGTGGGAAGATATTACCCAACCAGGAGAGACTGAAATAGCAGAACAGGTTGGCGTAAAATTATATGATGGCAATAAAAAAACACTTTACGAATCCGGTGTATTGACTCTATCGAGTCATAAACTCCGCTGGAAAGATGACATCAATCCAAATACCGACATGGTTCTACACTTATCACATATTGTGTTGATTGAAAAAGAAAGTGCAACTTGGACTAAGAGTGCCAAAATAATTGCACACCTCAGTGCAATTCTTGAAGAAGATAAAAAGCCTGGTCCTGTTAAATACAGCCCTTTTAATTATGTGAAGTTTTCTTTCAGATCTGGCGGTGACAAAGAATTCTTTAGTTTACTCACTGAAGCTTTAGCGCGTAAAGCGTGGGAAGACCTGTCTGCAAACTATCCGAAGGGTAAGCAGTACCGTGCTGGCATAGTTGGCATCGAGAGACAAATTCGAGATAAAAATGAAGCAACTGGCGAAACTATATCAGAAGCATTTGAAGATCTTAAAGCACTCATGAAAATGGCTAAAGAGATGGTCAACCTGTCTAAGATGGTATCCCAGAAATTGAAAGAAAAGCAAAGCGATATCACTGAGGATGAAACTATACAGTTTAAATCTTATTTGTTAAGTCTTGGTATTAGTGATCCGGTGACTAAGGAGGAGTTCGGCTCTGGAAGTGCATTTCACACAGAATTAGCCAAGCAATTGTCAGTGGCCCTGATGAAACCTTTACAAGAAGCGGGTGGCATTTTGTCCTTGACAGAAGTATATTGTAGAGTCAACAGAGCTAGGGGTGTTGAGCTCATTTCGCCAGAAGATTTGTTGAATGCTTGCTTGATGTTAGATAAGCTTAAGTTACCCATTCAGCTGCATCAGTTCGATAGTGGAGTGATGGTTCTACGTTTGGAATCTTATGATACAGCTTCAGAAGCATTGAAGGCTGTTGATATTCTAAGTGAGAAAGGATCACTAACAGCTGATGAGCTGTCTATAATTTCTAAGGCGACTGTTGTTATTGCGAAAGAAAGATTGCTGTATCTTGAAAAGGAAGGAATCGTTTGCAGAGATGATTCGATTGAAGGATTGCGATTTTATCCCAATCGCTTCATTTCTGAGTAGGATTTCAAAACTCATGATTGTGTTCGAATTATATTCACATATCCAAATTTGCACTGTTAATAAGACTTTTGTTTTAAAGATTATTATATGAACCGTAAAGGAAATGACAATTTACATAGGTAATTTGATGAAGAATTGAAATTTTATGGTATATGTTTGTTTTTTTTAAAGAAGACTAAACTATCTTCATTTTTCTTGCTTTTTTCAATGTTATTTAATTTTCCAATATCTGTTATTGAAGATAAGATTTGTGGTTGTGCAAAAACTTTCTTTTCTGGACAAAATTTCTTATGATTGTTCCATCATATATTGTTGAAATGACTTTTGTGATTATTTGTTCTAAGATAAATAAGAAAAGTTGCTTCTAGAAAAAATTCAATTTGAGGAGGGTGATTTTATGTAAATTGCTGGTAAACTAGCTCTCATGATTTTTTTTTTTAAAGAGAGGACTTGTATTTTAAAAAGTGATCACTGTTTAAAAAGCTACAGCTGGTCAGAGACCTTAAATTTGCTTTATAGTTTTGGTATTACCTGAAGTTTTGTGCATGAAAAACTAAAACCTGAGATAAGGGCAAACTTGAAAAATTTGTAACAGCCTCTAAACTGGCCATGTGTATGTGTATTTAATACATGACAGGTAAAAAATGGAGTAGTAGTACTTTTGCATTAAATGTTCAATAAGAATAAAAGTTCACAATTATGAAATATTCTAGTAAGCAGCGAATGAAAAAGATTGATACTAAGCTTACAAAAATTAAAAATTACTAAGTCAGGATAAAACTATAATATGGTTCATGTTAATCCTAATAATCTGGAAATCTTAAAATACATGTTATTAATTAAAACAAATTTTAAAGGAGAAGTTATTGAGGAAGAACCAATCACTTTCCAAATTGAATTTAAAAATTCTTATGTTTGTCCTAACAGTACCAAATATCATAATACTCATGAAACTTAATATGACTTGTTAAATAATTTGTTTTGTTATAAATATTCACATTTAAAAAATAAAATCTATATATTAAGAGATAATAAAATCAGGGAGAACACAGAAAATTTGGATATATACAGGGTGTCTGCGCACCTGGAAAGTCATGGATTTTGGTAACAAAATTTGTCATGAAATGTCACGATTTTAAACATTCTTAAAAAAAAAATCTGGAAAAACTTAACATGTGGAAAATGACCAACCTTAGAAATGTCTATAACAGTTGTTGGCCATTGAAATTCAAATGAAATAATTCTAATAAGTATAATAAACTGATATATTTATGTAGTGATGTGTTTTTTCCCACAAAATCTAATATGTGACTTGTCTGATTTTTTTTTTAAAAAAAGAATCGCTATTTATCGATGAAATCTGAACTAAAAATATTAAATATAAAAAATCTTGATTGCTTCGAAATTTTAAAATTGGCATCCAATATTTTTCTAAAATTTAACCTAGTTTTCTTTAAACCTAAAAATTTTAATATTTACGGGCTGCAGGCTAATAATTGTTGGTTTTTGCTCAAAGAAATTGAATTTTTAGACCCTTGAGAATTAATTTGGATGTTCTCTAAGAAAAACATGGCAGTCATGCTTAATATTTTCAAAAAAAATACTGGTACTATTTTTATTAAAGTGAGTTATTGATAACATGGTGCAGGAATTTTAGTTAACATGTTTAAAAAAAATTTTAATTAATATATTTAAGTATATGTCAGTCCTTAACTGCTTCAAAAAATAAAGTGAAGTAAAAATATCTTCTTTAACTAATCTTTAGGACCATTAGAATCAATCCTTTACGAAAATGTCATTTTCTCACAGTGAGGAAATGAGAAAATAATATTTGCTTCTGAAATTTATTCTCCTGAATAAAACTAAAATAACATTTCATATCCTTTATCAATTTCCTTAGAGGAAATAAAATCGGACCAAAAAATTAGCTTAATACATAGAAAAAACACTACCAATGTTAATTTTAAAAGATAATAGTTGAACAAGAAAAGTTTAGGTATTTCAATGAGAAATAATGGTTTTTGTATTTAAAGGTAGCAGATCTGTATGATATACATGAACGCTATTCGCCTAAAATTTGTTACCATCGCAGAAATATTTTTACTATTACTAAAAAGAAAAAAGAAATCCACCTCTTCCAAGAAATTTTGTCTTTTCCGTATTTCAGAGGGACAAAAATTCAGATGAAGCATCAGGCAAAATGAAGCATTAAGACTCGTATTGGCGCAATTTTAAAATCAAATATTGATTTTAAAATTGCAGAAAGTAAAACTTAGATAAAACTAAGAAAAAATGGTTTTATCTAAATTACTTGTCATATTTAAATATTAAAATTTATTTTTGTTAAAATTATTTTTTTATGTTCCTTAAAATTTATATCTTATTTTTTTGCTTGCATTTGAAGATCATACTTATCTTCCTTCTATTTTAGCACTTTTATTAAGTTATTATAAAATAATCTCTTGTTTCTCATTAAATGCTTAAAGCCTTTGCTTTATATTTATAATATAACTTCAAATGCTTTCTTTGAAAGAAATGTATAAATGTCTTTTACTTGATGTAAATCAGTAAATAGTTTATTTCGTTAACAAAGCCCATGTGGCAGAATTTATTTCGAGCTTTCTATGACAAACTTCCCTGTTACTAATATTTTGCTCTAAGATACTTTTAATTATAACAATTACTAATTTAAAGTAACAGAAATATTGTGTTTACAGAAGAAAGTATAGCATAAAAATGTATAAAAAATTTAAATGTAAAAGTAATATTTTTTTAAATTGCAATAATGTAGGCAATATTCTCGCATTTTGTAAGCGGAAAAATGCACTAATTATTTCCGCTTTCAAATTTTGTAAATCATTAAACATAAATTAAAAATTTTAAAATCCGTGCAGTAACTCCCAAAATAAAGATCACGAATCATGCGAATAAGACACTTTGATAGGATAGAGATACTCAAATAAGTCTATGTAAAATAGTGTTCTTTAAAGAAAGAAAGTACATCATTTCTAGAGCAAACAATCTTTTAAACTTCTGTGCTTCCTGAATATTTTATATTATTAATTCGAAATTCTAGCTGAAGCCAGTCATTAGATTTTTATTTTAAATCTCAAATGAGAATTAAAAAAATCATGATTAATTCTTTCCTCTCTGATGCGCAAGAAAGACACCTTAGGAAACAAATTCTGCAGGGGAAAACCAAAATTTTTCCCTTCCCAAATGAAACATCTATCTGCAATGTTCTGCAAGAATGTCACAGCAATTCTGCCTCAGGGAACAAAGCTAATCTTATCTTTTTAACACATTCAGGACTGTGTAAACATTAGACATGATCAAACAATTCTCTCCAATTCCTACAGTATCATATATGAGACAAACCCATGATCACAGTGACCTGATCTAAAATTGGTATTCTCGGAGTTTGACGGCCTGGGAAAGCATTAAGAATGTTAATTTTTTCAATTAGAATTTTTTTGACTAATTATTAAACAATTTATTTTCAAATTCATTACTACTTGATTATTTTTAATGCATTTTTAAAATTAATGTTTGATATTTTAAGTTGACCTGCATCCATTGTTTTCCCACATCTATTGTATTTGGTCCCTTGCAAAACAATCCTTAAACAGAGATGCCAACTGCTCCGGACACACCAAAATAATTAAAAGAGCGGTAAATAACTACAAAGTAAATTTTGCAAATATTTGACTATTTTTGCTTGTCTTTTGAAAGGCATAGCATGACCCAAGTACTATAAAGTTGTGAATTATATAAGCCTACGAATTATTTAGAAATAGTGGTGGATAAAAATCTACTAAATTGAATTTATTACACCAAGAATCACATTTAATAAACTACCACTTTAAAACATATATTTGCTGTCCGGAGCAAGTTGGCATCTCTGCTTCAAGGTTCTGCTGAATTACAGTTGACATTTAATATAATGAGAGTTCCTTATTTCGTAGGTGTACAAAAATATTGTAAATATTAACTCGTAATTTAAAAAAAAAAAAAAAGAACTTCATAAATTTTAACAAAGCAATGCTTTGAACTTGATAAATTTTTACAAAGCAATGCTGAACTTAAATAGAGATATGATAACTAACAGAAAAATTTAAAATAATTTTGAAAAAAAAAAATTTTTTTTCTTTTAAAATATGAGAAAATTGCATAAAAAATAATTTGCTAGATCAAAGCTGCCATTTTTGAGTAAAAAGAAACATGTCAAGATAACAGCAAAGATCACATGTTTTAACTTAAAAATAAAGCACGTAAGGAAACTGACATTTTACAAATAGTGAATACAATTTTCAAGCCAGGAAAGTGTAAACGATAAATTTATTATATCCTTTGAAAAGAAAGTTACACAGATTATAAATGACTCTAAATTATTACAACCTAAAACTTAGGATAAGAATTCAGGCGGACATGTCGGTTTTTTATTTATTATTATTCAAAGGGGTCTCGAAAAGTTTATTTTACTGTGTAATTTCATTTAAAAAATTACTTTTTCGAAATCAAATGACTAAATTTTGGTCGCTATATTGATATGAATGGTTCAGTGTGATCATACTAATGGACTTTAACATTGCATCTATGGGATATCAAAGTCAACTTTATGCACCGGTTGTTATAATGAAAGGTCGTATTTAAGAGCTTAGTCTGCATTTAAAATTCTTACACTGCTTCAATATATCTGCATTGAAGATTGAAAGCAATGCACAGTGATTTCTTGATATAACGTTACATATTTTAATTTTATTTAGCAAAATTTGTTTATTATTTGTTTTGCAGTTTGTAGAATTTTAGATTTAACTCAACATTTATTAGAATAATTTTTATTTTACTTTGAAAATTTACTAAAATTGTTTACCATATTTTTAAAATTATCTCTTATTTTTAAAATTTTTGTAAATTATTTTCGTTATATTAAAAATTTAATAACGTTATCTCAAATTGATCACTGTGTTTCTGCAGAGTCTACTGTTACTTATCCTCCTGGATCTGCATCACCCTATATTCCACCTCCACCAAATTTTGCACCTTATAACTCACCTCCAGTTTATGCAGCAACAGCACCTCCAAACTATGCAACAATTTCAACTCAACCTGGAATGCAAACTTATGGTTCAGTTACAACAGTTCCTATTAGCACTACAATAATTGTTGGAGGTTGTCCAGTATGTAGGGTAAGTCATAAGTATTTTATGTTAATCTCTATCTGATTATTTTGCGCATATATCTGCACATTGAAAATTTAATAAAATTGGAGAAAAATTGATTGATTGATTAAAATTGATTTAAAAAATACGAATAGTTGCCTAACAATTTTGCCATTTAAAATTACACAATTGCAAATTATTTAAAAATTTGTAGAAATAAGTATTTATACAAATTTTTACATACTTTTAACTAATTTTAAGGCAATTTGAATAATTTTTAAAAGTTAAGTATATATTTGTAGAAATATGTGTTTATATAAATTTTTACATAATTTATGATCTGATTTCGAATAGCAAAATTTTAAGGCAATTGGTTAATAGTTTTTATGAGAAAATTTTTTAAATGATTTATTAGAAATTTTATTGAACAATTTAAATCAGTTGTAGGAAACCTTTAAATATAGTTTATAAGTAAATTTAAAAAAATTCCTTAATTTTTTTGTGTTTAATTTTTTTTTATTAAGTTAAATAATAATTAATATTTACTAATAATTATTCCTTGCCCTATCTTTGAATAAAAATGTTTTAAAATGGTAACTTTTCTTTTTTTTTAATTTGCTTAAATAGATCTAGAGAAAAACAAAAAGTAAATTTAACGTTAAAGAGTTCAAACTTAAGATGCTAAACTATTATGATCATATTTCCATAATATGGCTAACTTTCACATTTTGAGATACAAAATCTGGTTCAGGCCTACAAATTATAAATATTTTATCGTAGTTTGTGATCATATAATTATTAAATTTAATGTTATTTAGATTTTTTTTTTTTTTAAATGAACTGTATTTGGTTTTAAAAGTATGAATTTTATTAATGATAAAAAAAAAAATTTAATTGTGATGTAACGAATTATTTTCTCTAAAATTACCATTATTTGAAATAAAAAATAGCTCCATACACATCCAAAAAATAACATTGTTTCAGGAAACTTAGTCTTTAAATGTGTGTTGGCTGCCCAGCTTTGGCTTATAAAATTTACAAGAGTTTTTCCACAAAGGTGAATATGCTGATTCTTCAACACTGTGTTGTGTCTATTTATTGAATATAAATGGATAGTTAGAATATTAATGGAAAAGTTACTAAAACTTAAAGCATAAATTCAAAATTTGCTTGTACTGTAGAAAAAGTCTGGTCATTCATTCTTGAAGTACAGTAAATATTAAGGGTTATGTTATTTTCAAAATATCTTTTGAATTGGTTGCTTTTTCACTTCAATAACCAGGCTTTGAACTTCACACTCAAATCTATGCCCTCCAATTTTTATTCCCTGTTTAATTGATTTGTATAGTATGGAGTAACGTTATTGATTTTTTTTGGTGGGAATTTTTTTAGCCTATTAATAAATTTTCAATTTATAGAATATATGCTTTTAAATAAATATAACATTCTGAAAATGTATTCTGTTTTTTTTCCAGAGGGGTATTTTACAAGAAAGTTACCCATGCTGTGCTATTTGTTTGGCTATTGTTTGTTTCCCCATTGGAATATGCTGTTGCTTAGCAATGAAGCAAAAAGAATGTGGAGCTTGTGGGGCTACTTTCCACTGATTTTAATGCAAAGTTATTACTATTTTCTGTAAATTGTTTTTACAATTTAAATATTGTATTTTGGTATTTTACAATGATTGAAATAATATAAATGTTAGTTTGTTTCATGAATTTTATTTCAATATTTCTTTAGTTGCTTCATAAAGTAGATTTCTAATTAAGGCTATTGTATTCTTATGGTAAAAAGTTGAAATATGCTATGATGCGATTCAGGCAGTATACAATTGATGGTATAAGTCCAGCGCACAAGTTTGTAAAAATGTTCCGTACATGAAAAATTCTTATTGCCTGTTGTTAAATTGCACAAATTTAAAAATAACAGCATACTTAATTTTCTTCTTTGATCAATGTTTCTTAGCTAATAGTTTATTTAAAAGGATTTCAGGATAGTGTCAAGAGTCAAGTTGTAGGTTTTTCATTCTAATTAATCTTTCAACTAAGTGTAAAATAAGCAAATTTTTTTTATTGTTAAATGCTACAGCGCTCATGAAACATATTATTTATTAACCCTTAGTGAATACTCAGATTTTGCTTTCAACGATGTCAAATTCTAAATCAAACTAAACCAAACACTGTCAAAATCTTAAATTTTACTCAAAATTTTTAAGTTTTTGTAATGTTGTTCAATGATTTGGAATTTGGCAATTAATCATATTTTAAAAGTAAATAAAACACATAACATAGATTTCTTTTATTTATAAAATTTAACAAACTTAATATTATTTACAAATAAATAAAATATAGACTATATATAACGTTTCTAAATCTTTTAAATTATTAACAATTTGAATATCATTTTTAATTTTATGACAGTTAAAAAATGACTATAAATTCAGCTTTTACCAATCTTTTTATCACGTTCTTTCAATGATTGTAGATATGCTAATTCTTCTTCCAAATATGCATGATCCTGAAAAAAAGTACTTTTAATTAATTGGATGTGTCCTTAAAGTACACTTTGCTTCGGTAACAGTCATTAAGAATTCGGTACAGCATGTCAAGTAAAGAAGTGAACATCCTGAATAAAATTTTTTAATTAATTTCTTTTTCCTACTGAGTGTGGCAAAAACTGAGTGTCTCATTGGTTTTCTTTGTGTCTAGTTATTACACAGAAAATTAGCTTTATTTCATAAGAACTCAAATAATTAAAGACTCGTCCTTAATTATTTGAGAGCTTCGTCCTAAATATGCTAATTATTATTTTTACGGCGGGCACTCACTGAACTTTTGTTCTTCACCTTGGAAGATGCAGAGAGTGTGTACCTGTGACTCTAACAGTGGGCTACATCACACAACATAGAGAAACATCCGTGCTCTGATCAGGATTTGAACCTGAAACCATTGGTCGGCTGAAAATAAGCTAATTACATAGTACAGACAATTTTAAGTTACTAAATCAGACACAAAAGCATACTTTCTCTGGTTGAATATACCTTTTTTTGATGGATGGGGATTGACTCACAATAAGAGGAATACAATCTGGAAAACACAATTTCAATAGTTTGGTCAAGAGATCATTCAAAAGTTGACCCCTTAATGTTAATTACACTTTTTGTGCATTTATCATACCTCAGGAACTTTTCAACTGAAATGAAGCATTTTGTGTACAATTAAAAATTTGATTTATCCAAAGAAAATTCCACGTAAAAAATCATTTTTAATCAAAAAGTTTTGAGTTAATAAAGTCAAAAAATTACAAGTAGTAAGGTTTTCAAATTTTTACATAATTCTAAAGGAGTGCAGTCAGTTTCTAAGTTATGAAGTCTTAAAAATGCTGTAAAAATTTGATGTTTCAATAACTAATTTACCAATTTCGCTCCAAATTTTTTGAGACTATATTTAAATAAAATACTATTAGGTGCAAAAATGTTTCAACTTGCTAAAGATTCTCAAAATAGCAAAAAGTAAAGTTATCATTGAGAGGTCCAAACTTTTGACCACTCTCCTGATGAACTAGTGGAACCTGTTTCTCACAATGGGACAACCCCCTATATTTTAAGTTGCATGTCAGCTATCCAAATTGGTCGAAAAAAAGTGTCTTAATTGAGAGATGGTATGTTTCTGTATCTGATTTTATAACTTAAAATATCACCTGCATTAATTAGCTTATTTACTGTAAAACCCTTGAATCATGGGTGCAAGTCTTCCGTCCCCATGACGGATTTCCGTCTTTCGAAAATGTCCGCGGACGGAAGTAAGACAGAAACAAGACTGACTCGAAGATGGAAATCGGAATTTTTTTTCTGTCCTTAAAAATATTTTTTAGGTCTACGTTATTGGTCTACTTTGTTATGTCCTGTTGTTATTTTATCAAAAGAAAGATGAATAAATATTTTTTGTACAGTATTTAAACTTGATGTATTATGGTAAAGCTTTCTTAGATAGTTTGCATATGTCGAGGGGGTATTGTGTATGTTAAGTATTTCAGTCAAAAAATTTTCAGTCTTGGCCTTTTTCCCAACTTGCACCCATGCCTTGAATCCATTAAGAATGAGTTCTACATTGTGTCCCATGAATTATATCCACTTCGATTTTGTGTCATAAAGAGTAATTCAGTTTTTACTTCATCTGGGCAAGGGGGGATATAGTAAATAATATTATAACCAGTATATTTATATGTTGTTGTGTATCATTTGCTAAACTCTGAAAGACATTAGCACCAATTTTTCACCAGATTCCATAATGGCATGTTTTTTTTTTCTTGTTTTTTTTGGAGATTGATGTTGGGAGAAAAAGCAGGACATTCATAACAAGCAAAACTAGTACTGCAAAGATTTTTCAATGCAAATTGAGGCCTTGTTCTACTGAAAAATCTGGCTTGTACCACCTATTCTCTCAAAAAACGGCAATAATTGGATCTCTAGCATATCTTCCTAACCAGTAGTCTCTATCCATCGTGTGGGTAAAGGCTAAGTTAAGCTTACACCCACAACTGAAGCCTTCCCACACCATTAAAGAACCTTCACCTTACCGTCCATTGTAGAGGAGTTTTTCTTCTTCTTTCTCTCATTTACAATTTTATATAAGTCATTCAAAGAGCAGATTTCCATACTAATATAATTCACAGTGCCTCTTTCAAACACATTGAGGTCGTACAGCGATCCTGTGATATTCTAAACAAGATAAGGTATATGTGGCCACTTGCTATCGGTAAAGAGCAGATTCCCATACTCATATCATTCACAGTGCCTGTTTTAAACACATTGAGGTAGTACAGCCATCTATAATTTCCAGACCATCAAGATTTCATTTCTATAATGATTAATTTTTCAGGCTTTTGGTCAGGTTGGTTGTCCTTACCTCTCTGTTTCCTTTTTATGGGTGCAGTTGATCCCTATTACATTTTAGTGAGGGACAACTCATTGCAAAATAGACCTCATTATGTCAAGGATTTTCTAGAATATGAAGATCCTCATCAGATCATTTAGTCAGTCAGACTTCAATTAATTTTACCTAATCTTAATATTATACTAAGAAGGGTTCACATGATTTAAATCATGTGGGATTGGAATGATTTAATTCATGTTAACCCTGTTTTTAGTTAGCTGAGAACCGTCATAATAAATGTCACTATAATTTAATTTACCTATAAACAAAATATTCATTGTGATACTTGCAACAACATATTTTTGATTAAACTTCTTCATACCTTTTGAGCTGAAAGCTGCCACAGAATTAGACTAGGATCAATGAAAGTCTGGGGGATGTTATTTGTTATTCCATTCACAACTGGATATGACATTAATGAAGTGGTGTTAATTTGTGGAGGTTGAACTAAAAATGGAGAAAAAAAAATTACATTTTTTGAAAAAGTCACATAAGTTATATTTTATTTCAATTTTGTTATTAACATTTGAAGTCGTAGTTTCATTCTGTTTTGAAAAATTTTCAATGTTCACAACAAAAAATAAATTAAAACATTGATAACTAAATACTAGATATGTTTTCTTTTTATATAAAAAAAAAAACTTCTTATCTGATAAACTATTTTCAAAAAAATGATTTCAAATCAATGATTAAAACTATATTAACAAATTGAATAAAAAATATTAACTTGCACAATTTTTTTTTTGAAAATAGTACTATATTTTTATAATGCTGGGTTATATTTAATAAAATGCTAGGGGTGAAATCTTATTTTAAGAGAAAATGCAGGTGGCAATCTTAAGCAAAAAGGGAAAAAAATTGACAGAAATAAAAAGCAAGAATTGTATAGGATAAATAAATAAAAACATTAATAGCATTAGATATCATTTAATTCTACTCTGAAAAAAAAATTATAGTGAGTTTACTAGCTTACTTTAAAACACTACTTAAGTTTATTGATCCAGAAACTTCTGAATGAATATTAATAAGTTGTTAAAATATCTTAGACTCTAATATACAAGAGCAATTCAGATTCTAAACTCTATTATTGCATGGCATAGTCGTAGTGGCTATCGGTACCTTTTAGATGTAAATTAAAATTTTGTTGAATCTAAACAGGTTTTTATTTACAGTAGAACAGAAGTTAGTTTCTGAATTGCCCTCACATATTTTCAATAATTTTTAAAGTAAGTTCCTTATACATTACCATTTAATGGAAGTTGAGCAGAAACCTTGCATTTGACACACAGCATTGAATTCCTTTTGCTTTCTAGCTCATATTTTTCTTTAACTAATTCTTCTTTTTCCTAGTTTTTATTTAATATATATATTTGAGATGACAGTAAAAAATTAAAACATAGATTTAGAAATAAAAATTTGTTTTTAAATAACAATCCAGGTAAATGCAATTAACATCAAAGAACTTGAAAAAGAAAAATTAAAAAGTTTAAACTACCGTCAAATAGTTATTATTGCCATAATTATTATGCACCTAATATATGTTCTGTATCATCCAATATCATAACTATTTCATATTGATCTTACAACAACAATTTGTACGTTCCAAACTAGTCGATATATTATAATATAATCTTAAGATCTTAAAAGCATTTTTAGAACCAGAAAAAAGCTTATTAAATGTTGGTGGATGTCTTTGAAAATGGTATAAATTAAGAGTAATTCTAGAGTATTTTGCAGCATTTTCAGCTAGAGCAGTAGAATTACTCACACATTCAACTAAATGTTTTTTGTTCTATTTGCAAAAAATATTTATTTGTAGCATGCTGCAATAAAATGAATTAGTTATAAATTAGAGTACACACAATAATTTTTTTTGTGGATTTCATGAGACTTTTAACAATGCTAGTAACATAATTAAATTGAAATAAAAGAAAGAGCACTTAATATGCTTTTCCATTTCGAAATGACAACTTCAAAAAAAAGTAAAAGGAAATTTTAAGTAACTAATATTTTAATTAAATACATTTTACAGAGATGATAAAATAATGAAGCGTGATCAGCCTTTTTGAAATTAAACTCTTAAAATTATTATAAATTAGTTTCAAGTATAGTGTTATTCAATTCTTCTCAAATTCAAGTAAAGTCTTATTGGAAAAACCAAAACCATACTAAAAAAAGACTGAATAAGCATGGATTCTAACAACTGAAATGCAGTTTCAATTCCAGTTAAACTTACTGCATGGGTTTTAAAACCATAGCTGCGTTTGAGGTGCCAAAAAGTACCTAAAAATTGGGTGCTAGACCCTGTGACATGTACCAATGATAATAATCCAGAAATAACTCATATTGAATGCCTGAACTTTTGATTAATTATTATTTATTTATTACAAATGCCCAGAAGATTGGCTATGACGCCATTAGCTCTTTGGCCTTCCAATATCTCTGTACATTACAATTAAAAAACACAAGTTAAGATGAGTAACATAAAAAATTTGATGTTGTCCACAAAAACGAGAATCACAAAGTCCAAACCGATACAAATAGTTCTGGCCTGTAGTAAGGCGGAAAAGTGCCACGGCTGCACTTTTAGGAAAATCTGGAATCGACCGTTTATCCTCAAGCAGTAAGATCCATGGCTTACCGGCAGAGTCGCATAAAGTTAGGAGTTTAGTCAAGGAGAGGCAGCCAACATTCCACTGAAGCAGTCTCAAAGCTTTACACATCCTGCAAAATTTCTCATGAAAATGTCCAGAGCAGAGACACAAGGAAGGAGGCAAAGCCGTAGCAGATTTAGTGTTAACCAGGGTGCACCACGTGGAGGCCTTGATTAATTATTATCAATTGTTTATTTTTAATAAAGGTTAGCAATAAACAGAAATTTTTATGTAATATTATTTTTAAAAAATTTGTCATAATGTTCAGGATTTGTCTGCTAACAATTATAAGTTCATGACCATCCTGTTTCAAATGCATTTAAAAATAGTTTTTATATTTTTACAAATTATTGATAATCTTTTTCGGCTGAAGTAAATCAAAAAGTACCTGAAGTATTTGATGTTCTTTATCCCTCAAAGTTTGCATTTGTTGAGCTATTTGCTGCAGTTTCGACTGGTGCTCATCCTTTATTTTATTTGCAAGGAATTGCTCTTGATGAGCTCTTTCTTTCTCTTCTCTAGATGACTAAGAAAAGAAATAAAACATGAAAAAAATGGTAAAACATACAGCCATTTTTTTGAAAATTGTTTAAATAAATATGACCAAAAAATTACATAGGAATTAACAAAATGTAAAAATATTTGAAAATGAAAATAGAATAAGTAATAGTGTAAATATTTAAAATTTTACTTATATAAATAAAATAAATTCAAGATAAATCGAATAAATTGAAGTTTAAAAATGTTTTTATGCTTAAAATATATTGAATCATAAAACTTTTTTAAAAATGATTACCACAAAAATCTATGCTTTTTGAATAAAATAATAGGTGTTAGAATGCAGAACTATTACTTTTTGCATGGTAACAAGTTAAAATATTTAGATACATGTTATTTACAAACAATGTTGATAATGTCTAGTGAAATCTACCTGTTTCAAAAATTATTTCTTACATAAACATTCAAAAATTAAAAAGTCATTCTAAAGCTGTTATTTTCCTGAAGTTATTCAATCGATTTTTTTAAACTTAACTGTTGACAAAATAGACTTATGATTATTTAAAAAAAAGTGTAAAAAACATTATTTTGAATCAAACATTTTGTTAACTAGTCCAAAAATTGCACACAGAAATCTGTCCCTTAAATTCCTTTTTTATTTGGCCATCTTCTTTAAATTTTGTATACTACCATGTCTTAGATACTGCACACTATATAATACATGTTAATTTAAAAAGTATTTATTTAGTTTAATTAATTAAAATACATATTTAGACTTAAAATATACTTTCCAGAATTAGTATATTTTTTTGATAACCATTCAATATTTAAAAGAGTGCATCAAATAAATTCAATAGATTAAGAACTATTTTGCTATCACAGATCTAAATCAAAATATAGGCAGTATGTTTCAAGATTTAATACGTTATAAATTTTGAGCATAAAATACTTTAAATATATTTAATCAGTTGAGTTTCATTTTAAAATTGTAGAACATTTTAACTAAGATAAATTTTTAAGAAAATTAAAACCGTTTTCAAGATAATAAAAACATTTCTTAGTTTAACTGGCAAGTTATAGCATATTTTTTAAAGATCATTTATTATATTTTTCTTATTTAATGATATATATACACTGCTCTTACTATTGCTAAATGTTCTATTTCATCAGCTCTTCGTTTAACCTTCAAACTATATTCATTAAATCTCTCTTTTTCACTTGTGAAGTGCATTTTATCTCTTTCAAACATGTCCTTTTCTCTTTCCAATTGTTGAGTTTCTAACTTAAGATTATTCTTTTCTGACAGCAGCCTGCTCTCTTCCTGTTGAATAAACAGCTTTTGCTTTTCAATAAAGCTCTCCTCCTAAAATAAATTTCAAATAGGGAGAAAAAAGTGTAAGACTGATATTGATAGTAGCTTTCAAAATACAAATTTGAAGTATCAGTTAGTTTATCCATGTATTATTATTTTAACCATTGATTTGATTTAGTAATATTATTTTAATAATTTTTAAAAGTAATTTTAAGTCATATTAAATATTCAACTTTATATTAAAGTATTTTCTTCAGCCATAAATTTCAAATTTTTACTGACTGCTTTGGTGATTTTAAATTGTTCTTAGAAAATAAGAGGGAGAAAAGATTGTAATTAGAATTTGAGCATGAACTTACTACACTGTTATATGAGCGAATAAACAATATCAAAAGAATATTTATAAAAAATTTTGAGAATTGTACTTAGAAAAGAATTTTGAATCTAAGTACAGAGAACCATTTGAAATGCATAAGAAAAAGAAGAAATAAATTCACATTCAATACATAAAAAGTAAAACAATTAATAAACCAAAAGTTAACACGGTATGCAGTTAAAAATCTATATTAACTCCAAGAATTATATATTATTCCACAATTATTTCGTGGCAGGAACAACTTAATTGACTTGTACCTATTAACACTTTTTACATTGCTATCTGAACATGTAAGGTATGTTTTCTGTCCATTTGATTTGTGTTAATTTTCATTTGATAAAGCAAAAAATAATACATAGGGAACAATACCTCACTTGTCTATAAAGCAACGTAAGATGCATATATAAGTGCAAGTAGAACAAGATTGTACTTTTAACACAAAACTCTTATAACTTCTTAATTAGTTATATAAATTCCTGTTTTATTTCAATCAATGTAGCATAAAAAAAGTACATCAAAAATATACCTTACATATTCTATAACTCCTATATAGCAATATAAAAAGTGTTCATAAGTACAAGTCAAAAAAAAATACTTTTTATACACAAAACCCTTTTAAATTTTGAAAGATTTGTCACATTGCCTTATTTGATTTAGCATAAAAAATTACTTCGGAAACAATGCCTCACTTATTAAGATTGCTATGTCAGTTGAGTGATTTGTACTTTTTCTAAATAAAACCCTTATACCATCTAAACTATTAGTCAGTTTCAAGTTTGCTTTCACACAATTTAGCATAGATAAATACATTGGATACAATACCTCAAATAGAATGCAAAAAGTAAAATTAACACTAAGGAGCTGATACAGCTCCTCTTCATGGTAAATTAACCAAATCACTAAACCCTCCCCTCTTAGGATCGTTCATAATTTTTGACCTCAAATATTTATTTTTTTAACGGCTATGTATTAAGTATTTTTTTAGCTTTTGTAAACAATGCAAAAATTTTGTCTTCTTAAATAGACGCATTTCATCAAAAAACCCAAGAAATGGTACTCGTCACTACAATGAATTCTTTTAGCTTAAAACAAATTGTACCCATGATGAATTGTCCCAGAACAAATGGATGTGACATCTAGAATTATTGCTTGAATATTTCGCTAAAACTCATTATATTTAGTTTTTTTCAGCTATTTATGGATTTAATAAGTCCTTAAAAAAATTATTAGTAAAATATATGGAATTTAAATTTTTTATACACTTTTCTTTGTTTCTACCATTTAACAATATGTTCGAAATTTATGTCAAAATCCTAAACATTCTTTAGTAGCTCAAGTCTTTTACTAGCTAGACAATATGGAAAGGTCATCAAAATGCTCCTCACGAACAAAAGCATTTTTATGATGAATTTTATTTTGAGTTACGAAACGTCCGTCTTGAGCTGCATAGAGCTATTAGCAATTTATTTCCTTAATTCATAAATTGGGTATAATTATCACTCTATATAAACCGATTGATTTTTGAAAGATTATCTTTTTTTCAACATCAGAAGATAAAAATTTAATTTAAACAAAAATTTTACATCTGTTAAAATTTTTGAAAAAATTTTTTTCCACTGCATGTGCAAAATTTTCCACACGTCTTGATAAGAACAATGAATCTGGATATAAAATCCCACTCACAAGTGAAACTAGAGAAGTGTGACTCGCCAATTTTGAAATAAACTAGTGGGATGTATGCCTTATGAGGAATAATTTTAGGGGCCAACATTCGTTTCGGCCCATGGATTATACATACCCTCCAACTTATGAGGATTTAGAATATAATTCTTTCTAGTGGTAGCGAACCAAAGTAGAAATTTTTAAAGCAAATGGATCTCTCATAAAACTTTTATCAGAACTTAAGAATCTAGCCATATGGCCTGCACTTTTATAAGTAATAGTGGACAAGTTACGCTAAAATTAATTTTTTTTTAAAATTAAGACATTNGCAGTGGGGCTCATGGCTTACCGGCAGAGTCGCATAAAGTTAGGAGTTGAGTCAAGGAGAGACCGCCAGCATTCCATTGAAGCAGTCTCAAAGCTTAATACATCTTGCAAAATTTCTCATGAAAATGTCCAGAGCAGAGACAAAAAGAAGGAGGCAAAGCCGTAGCAGATTTAGTGGTGCACCACATGGAGGCCTTGATTAATTATCAATTGTTTATTTTTAATAAAGGTTAGCAATAAACAGAAATTTTTATGTAATATTATTTTTAAAAAATTTGTCATAATGTTCAGGATTTGTCTGCTAACAATTATAAGTTCATGACCATCCTGTTTCAAATGCATTTAAAAATAGTTTTTATATTTTTACAAATTATTGATAATCTTTTTCGGCTGAAGTAAATCAAAAAGTACCTGAAGTATTTGATGTTCTTTATCCCTCAAAGTTTGCATTTGTTGAGCTATTTGCTGCAGTTTCGACTGGTGCTCATCCTTTATTTTATTTGCAAGGAATTGCTCTTGATGAGCTCTTTCTTTCTCTTCTCTAGATGACTAAGAAAAGGAATAAAAATAAAACATGAAAAAAATGGTAAAACATACAGCCACTTTTTTGAAAAATGTTTAAATAAATATGACCAAAAAATTACATAGGAATTAACAAAATGTAAAAATATTTGAAAATGAAAATAGAATAAGTAATAGTGTAAATATTTAAAATTTTACTTATATAAATAAAATAAATTCAAGATAAATAAAATAAATTCATAGAATTAATTGAAGTTTAAAAATGTTTTTATGCTTAAAATATATTGAAGCATAAAACTTTTTTAAAAACGATTACCACAAAAATCTATGCGTTTTGAATAAAATAATGGGTGCTAGAATGTAGAACTATTACTTTTTACATGGTAACAAGCTAAAATATTTAGATACATGTTATTTACAAACAATGTTGATAATGTCTAGTGAAATCTACCTGTTCCAAAAATTATTTCTTACATAAACATTCAAAAATTAAAAAGTTATTCTAAAGCTGTTATTTTCTTGAAGTTATACAATCGATTTTTTTAAACTTTACTGTTGACAAAATAGACTTATGATTATTTTAAAAATAAATTTGGAAAAAAACATTGTTTTGAATCTAACATTTTGTTAACTAGTTTAAAAATTGCACACAAAAATCTTTTCCTTAAATTCCTTTTTTATTTAGCCATCTTTTTAAAATTTTGCCTAGTCCTATGTATTTGATACTGCACACTACATAATATATGCTAATTTAAAAAGTATTTATTTAGTTTTATTAATTAACATATATACTTAAACTTAATATATACTTTCCAGAATTAAATGTTTTTTTTTATAACCCTTCAATATTTAAAAGAGTGCATCAAACAAATTCTACAGACTAAAAACTATTTTGCTATCACAGATCTAAATCAAAATGTAGACAGTACATTTCAAGATTTAATTTTTTACAGATTTTGAGCATAAATATATTTAATCAGTTGAGTTTTATTTTAAAATTGTAGAACATTTTAGCTAAGATAAATTTAAAAAAAAAAAAAAAAAAAATTAAAACCGTTTTCAAGATAATAAAAACATTTCTTAATTTAACTGGCAAGTTATAGCATATTTTTTAAAGATAATTTATTAAATTTTTCTTATTTAATGATCTTACTATTGCTAAATGTTCTATTTCATCAGCTCTTCGTTTAACTTTCAAACTATATTCATTAAATCTCTCTTTTTCACTCGTGAAGTGCATTTTGTCTCTTTCAAACATGTCCTTTTCTCTTTCCAATTGTTGAGTTTCCATCTTAAGATTATTCTTTTCTGATAGCAGCCTGCTCTCTTCCTGTTGAATAAACAGCTTTTGCTTTTCAATAAAGCTCTCCTCCTAAAATAAATTTCAAACAGGGAGAAAAAAAGTGTAAGACAGATATTGATAATAGCTTTCAAAATACAAATTTGAAATATCAGTTAGTTTTTGCATGTATTATCAATTTAACCATTGATTTGATTTAGTAGTATTATTAGTTTAGTAATTTCAAGTCATATTAAATATTCAACTTTATATTAAAGTATTTTTTTCAGCCATAAATTTTTACTAACCGCATTTGGTGATGCTAAATTGTTTTTAGAAAATAAGCGGAATGATAATACTCACGCAAAAATTGCAGAAAAGATTGTAATTAGAATTTGAACATGAACTTACTACAGTGTTATAAGAGCGAATGAACAATATCAAAAAAAAAAATTTATTAAAAAAAAATAGAGAATTGTACTTAAATTGAAAAAGAATTTTCTATTTAAGTACAGAGAACCATTTGGAAAAAAATGCATAAAAAAAGAAGAAAGAAATTCACATTCAATACATAAAAAGTAAAACAATTAATAAACCAAAAGTTAACATGTGTAGTTAAAAATCTATATTAACTCAAAGAATTATTTATTATTCTGCGACTATTTCGTAGCAGGCACAACTTAATTGACTTGTACTATGAACACTTTTTACATTGCTATCTGAACATGTAAGGTATGATTTCTGATGTAATTTTTCATGCTGAATAAATAAGATAAAATTCAAGTCTTTAATATAAATAGCTTTGAAATTATATAGAATTTCTTCATAACTGAAATTCAAAAAAAATTTAATTTCATTTTTATAAAAAAAAAACATTGCAACTTTTGAAATATTTGTCTGTTTGATTTGTGTTAATTTTCATTTGATAAAGCAAAAAATAATATGTAGGGAACTACACCTCACTTGTCTATATAGCAACATAAGATGCGTATATAAGTGCAAGTAGAACAAGATTTAGATTGTACATTTTACACAAAACTCTTATGACTTCTTAATTAGTGATCATATCAATTCCTGTTTTATTTCAATCAATGTAGCTCAAAAAAGTACAACAAAAAATATACCTTACATATTTTATACCTCCTACATAGCAATATAAAAAGTGTTCATAAGTACAAGTAAAAAAAAAAGTACTTTTTGCCGACAAAAACCTTTTTAAATTTTGAAAAATTTGTCACATTGCCTTATTTGATTTAGTATAAAAAATTACTTCAGAATCAATGCCTCACTATGTCAATTGAGTGATTTGTACTTTTTCTAAATAAAACCCTTGTACCATCTAAACTATTAGTCAGATAGTTTCAATTTTACTTTCATACAATTTGGCATAGATAAATACATTGGAAACAATATCTCAAATAGAATGCAAAAAGTAAAATTAAAGGTCATCAAAATGCTCCTCACGAGCAAAAGCATTTTTATGATAAATTTTATTTTGCTTTGCAAAACGTCCATCTTGAGTTTCTTATAGCTATTAGCAATTTATTTATCAAATTCAGAAGTTGGGTGTCATTGTCACTCTCTCTATACAAACTGATTGATTTTTGAAGAATTATCTTTTTTCAACATCAGAAGGGAAAAAATTAATTTAAATAAAAATTTTCCACAGAGTATTATCACACCTGTTAAAATTTTTGAAATTTTTTTCCACTATATGAAATACATGTATAAATAAGTATTGGCAGTGACAATGAATCTTGATATAAAATCCCAGTCAGTGACCAAGGAAGCATCTCTCCCACTCTGTGTGCATATATATATATACATATATAAGTTCAAAATGTAGAGGAAAAGATTTAATAAAAAATATAATCTAGAGTCCAGAAGTGTCTTGTTCACTAAAGATTTCATGTTGTCTAGAAGAAAAAGTCTAGTGTGTTGATGTCCTCCATGACTTTCTTTTCTGTCCCTTAAACTGGAATTTGACTCTATTACTAGTGAGATAGGAGTTTACAAAAACAATTTAAACCTACTCTGTATACAGAAATATACTGTACATTTTCTACATAATCTTGTTTAATTGACAAATGAGCAAAATATTTTTGCATACTATCTAGTTTCAAGCCAAACGAGAAAACTTTTTTTATAGAAAAACGTATTAAATAAAGAAAAAAAAATACCTTTAATTTCTTCACATTGAATTTTGCCTCATCTTCTTTTACTTTTCTAGAAATAAACTCCAACTCGTTTTTTTCTCTGGTGATTTGCTGTCGTTCTTCAGCCAGTTGAAGAAGAACGATTTTTTGTTCTTGTAACAAAGAATTCTAAAAGAAATATTTTAAAATTTAAAAAACAAACGCCAACTCAAATTAAACATTAAAAAAGTCTATGAAAGCTATATAAAATTAAATGTATATAATATTTTCCAACATTAATAAAACCATAAAATTATACCTTAACAGCTAAAAATTGTGGTTTTCAATTACTAAATTAAATACAAATTTTATTAATCTTAGTGCAATATTTACTTTATAAATATAATTAAGGATATTTAATTCTTACTTTTCAATTACTAAATTAAATAAAAATTTTATTGGTCTTAGTGCAATATTTACTTTATAAATATAATAAAGAATACTTAATTCTTATTTCTCACGTGAAGCTTTTTTATTTATTTTCCATTTCATAGCCAGATTCAAGTTTGATTCGGTACACATTATAATTATAAAACTCAAAAAATATGTAATCTTTTTCACTTCAATACACATTGCCTAATTTTAATGATATCGAACTCATTATTTAATTAGTATAATTATTGACAAATTATAAGAAAACATCTGAATCTGTTTGAGAATAATCATAATTATTTTTTCAGCTCAAACAAATGAATTGCTCTTGCATAAGACAAATATAAAATCTATCAAAGAGATATATGTGAGAAAATGGTATCTTATTATATATACTAGAAGAATAGTCAGTAATAGAATTCCTAGGATAGAAAAAATTTAATGTAAGGAGAACCTGAAAATACATTATTATAATTAAAACTTCAATGTTCTTATTTTATAAACTGTATATTCCTGAAAGATTTATCATAAAATAATAAGATTACTATTATCTGATTAAATCTGAATTAAAATATTTTATGATCAAGCTAAATTTTACTAAGAATAACATTGAACTGTACATAATTATCAGTTTCATATTTTTAAATGAAATCATGACAGAATTTATAGATTATCCAAATGAGGTTAGGATATACTTTGTGCTATGTTTAAGTATGAATAAAGCAAAACCATGTGAATAAAACACAAAATTATGGAAATGGATTTACTATAATTTCAGTTCTACATACAAAGTGACAGAAATAAAGTAACACAAAATGCACATTTAAAGTGGTTTAAGCAGTGGGGGTAGTGTAACAAGAATGACACCAAAACTATATTATGTCTAATTCTATTCCTTTATTTGTGCTTTATACACATTTAGCTTCATTCTTTTAATGATTATACCTGATTTATTTGAAGTTTTTCTTTTTCCCTTTCAATCTGATCCATTTTCAATTTGTATTCTTCATCTAAATATTTTTGTTGAACTTTCAGTCTTGCTTTCAGTTGCTGCACATCCCAACGATCCTAAAAAAAATTATCTAATGAAAAGTAATAGAACACAACAATGTAAGAAAAATGAATTAACAGTATACGTTTTTATACAGTATATTCTCAATGTCTCAAAGTGGAAGGGACGATAAAAAAAACTTTCGTTATAGCGAGTTTTTTAGATAACAAGTTCAGAACTAAATATATTCTAAAAAGTAGAAAAATATACTCTAAAAAGCAGAGTCATGAAACACAAGAATAACTACTAATAAATATGTATGTAATGATAGTTGACTATAAGTCTAAATATAACAATGATAATTTTATTTTTAAAAGTAAGACAAGACGAAGATAATTATGCATTAAATAGAAAAAATTGGTTGACAACAAATTTACATTGTGATTTTTCTGAAAAAATTTATTTTCTATTTCAAGAAAAATTCGAAATAACAAGGTTTTGAGAAGAAACTCTTCAATATAGGAATTTCAAATAACGTTAGGTGGATATAAAATGCCATGGGGAAAAATATTTTTTCGACATACCGTCATTCGGGGCTACTTTGTGCAAATTCGAATTTGGCATTTTTCAAGTGCTGCTATTCAGTATTATGTTTATTTCACTTTAAAAATGTGTAGAATTTGAAGATAGAAGTCTCTTCTATTACTACAAACATTTATTCGAATTTTAAAACNATAACAAGGTTTTGAGAAGAAACTATTCAATATAGGAATTTCAAATAACATTAGGTGGATATAAAATGCCAAGGGGAAAAATATTTTTTTACATAACAAGGTTCTCGAGATATAGAAGTTTGAGATATTGAGTATACTGTAATAAAATCCATACATTGCATTTTTTTCACACTAAAAATAAATTAAATTGAAATAAAGTATACATAAAAAATTATATTGTACCATTATATATATATATATGTGTGTGTAGAGAGAGAGAGGCTTAAAAATTTGTTTATTCTGGTAAATGATTTTTATTTCTGATTTATAGGGGGAACCATTTTGATATGTGTATGTTAGCAGTAGAAAATTCAAATATTTGTCTAAGTGTTATAAATGCAAAACTTACATATAATAAAAGCATACATTATAAAAGTAAAATACAACACAAGTGGCAGGAGGAACAAGTGAGAATACAAGAAAAAGATTATCTGAATTCAAGAGAAATTGAAAACCAATCACGGCAAATTCAAAGAAGAGAAAAATGCAAATTTGATGGCTGAGCCTTAAATTTTTCTTACTTATTTTTGATTCTTTTCAACAGAAAAAAAAAAACGTGATTTTGAAGAAACATGAAAAATATCTGGGCAGCCTCTAACCATTTAAAAAAGTTGTCTCAGGAATTTTTCAAAATAAAAAGAAAATTTTAAAATAAAAAAACGTATGCAAAAGAACTTTGAGTAATAAAAAAAAGAGCGCTGCACAATCTCAAGGGGAGCAAAAAAAGAAATAAATAATAATAATAAAGTGAACAGGAGAGAAATGTATATATTGTACAATTTAAATACATATATTGGGGAATAAAATGGGAAAATTGAACTATCTTTGTCGTACTTGTAACACCAAAAGACATATTAATGGAAATAAAATATATCCAGTGATAAATAATAAAATATTTTGATTGAATTGGAAAACTAACAGAATAAAAAAAATTGCATAGTTTGCTTCAGCCACTTAAAATAAAGCGTTAAACACAAATACCAAAGTTATTAATAAATTAGACAATGAAAAATATTATACGTTTGGAATTTGAAAAAAAATTAAAGTCACTGAGTGCTCAATTTTGTAAATAAATTTCACGCAAAAAGAAAAAATGGTATATAAGAGGTAACTTGAATCCACAAAAGTAAAAATTTAAAAAGGGAAGAAAACTTTGTAATAATAGAACATGATCACAAACATTTAACCTCTTTTTTGTAATGATCACCGACTTTTAATAAAATATGTACTATAATTTAATATTCTAGCTCATTACTCAGTGGTTAAGGCACTGAACTGTTATTTTAAAGGACTGGGGTTATATCCCCAAGGGCAACTTGATTTATGAGTACCAGCTTTTCTGGGAAGTAAAGGTGGGCTGTGCACAATGTTGACAACATTGTTAAAATCATGCAGTTGGTCATGAAAATGGGGAACCTTAATTTAAATCACCCTATTAGCCAAAAATGGGCTATTGTGGAAATGCTTTTAATATTGTTATCATTGTAAAAAAATAGATATTAACGATCACAACTTAATGTTAAATTGTGAAGAACAAAAATATATTCCATCCCTTCAAAAACAAATTGGAATTTAGTCACCATGACACTCTTTAATGTTTATTATTTTTAGTGTATTCGGATTTTAAAAAAATAAATTTTTTAAATAAAACATGTATTTTTTTACAATAAAAATTTTTTTTATAAGTACAATTCCTACACATGCTTAGAAACAATAAATTTTAACAAACTTAACCATCAGAAATAAATATCAGATTAAAAGGGAAAAAAATATCAAAATTGATCGATCATACTAACTTCTTCCCCTTCAGTAGCTGACTTTTGAAGACGATTCTCAAGTCTCAGAACTAACTGCTGCAACCTATTTCTTTCCTCATCTCCATCCTCTAGTTGTCTTTCTAGTCGATTTTGCAACGCTAAATAGGTCCAATTATTTAAAATGGCATTTGCAATTTTAAATGACCAAATTTGAAATTATAGCGAAATCAGTCAAATAGTTCCTGAGAAATTGAATTTCAAAAAAGTCAGATATTTAAGATTCGATTTCTCAGGAACTATTCGACAGACTTTGGTCAAATTTCGTATTTTGTCTTGCAAAATTATATTTTTTAAAATGATGCAAAAATTTGTATACCTTTCAATTCAAATTTCTTTCGACCATTATTAAATGAAATAATAAATATTAAGAAAAAAAAATTTTTTTGCACAGAATTATCTTTGGTTAAACAAATTTTATTATTGGGTGCAAAATTTTAAATTTTTCAGTTCTATGAACAAGAATTTTTCAATTTGCTTAAAGAGTTCTCGAGATATAGCGAAATACTCAAAAAGTAAAATTAACATTAAGGGCTAAGAACTTTGAACTGCTCTCCTGACCAAACTATGGGGACCATATTTTCCAGATTGCAGCTACCCTCTATATTTTGGGGATCAAAAATTTAAATCAATCAAAAAAAGGCACGTTTATTCAGAGAAAGTACGGTTTTTTGTCTGATTTCATAACTTAAAATATGGTTCGCACTAATTAATTACCACATTTGAAGTCACTCCTTCGAACCTTTAAGATTTAGTTTTAGAATGTGAAAATCCAATCATTAGATCAAAAGTTATTCAGGCTGATCCGATTTTTACTTAGGACACTATACATGCTATGTATATAAATTAATATTTATTAGAAAAACATTCATTATCAAGCTTAATCACAGTGAAAGCAAAGAAGCATCCAACTCATTTGATTATGAGGCAGTATCAAAAGGCAATTTTAATATTCCTCTGAATTTTCATCCAACAATCAATCATCTGAATTTTCATCCAACAACTTTAATCCAATCACCATAATTATTTACTCCAATAATAAATGGGCAAAGTTTAATAATATTTTTGTTGTTTTTTTTTCCTGAGTTAAATATGAGTGTGTGATAAAAATTTTAAAAATATATATTGAGGCGGATGATTATAAGACTCTTTGTAACTCAAATTAAATCTCCCTTTACATTTTTTTAACATAATTAAATAATAATAATTTTATTAGTACATAGCATTAGAAATGAGCAAGTGACAACTTTTTCAATATTAGGTATTAATTTATACTGATCAAATAAATACGAGAACCTGATACTTTTTGTATAAATTTTTATTCTGTTTTGCTTATAAAGAAGTCATTGCATATTACATGTGATTTAAGTTTGGACTTCCACATGTTCTCTTCAGTAGAATATGCAGCAAATAAAAGGAAAAGAAAGCATACAATAAATTGATTCTGGACTCAATTTGTTGAATCCGTTACGTAATCCAAACTTAATCCTGCATCATTAATCCAAAAAAAGAATTTTTAGCCAATGCTGCCAACTATTTTTATTTTTTTAAACAAGTTTTAGAGGTTTTAAATTTTGTATTTTTAAAATAAATTGATAAACTAAACTCAGTGGCGTGACAGCCCATAAAGGGCCAAGGCCTACTGCGCCCATCTCAGTTTTCTTGACCTTGGGCTCTGGGGTGCAGGAGCAGATGTTCCGGTCAGGTGGTCAGCCGAACGCGGAACCCCCAGTGTTTAGTTCCCAAGCATGCTTGGTACTCATTTATCGACCCACTGAAGGGATGAAAGGCTGAGTCAACCTTGCCCGGCCCGAGGATCGAACCAGGGACCTGTGGCACGACAGCGCGAAGCGCTACCGCTCAGCCACCGGGCGTCAAAATAAATTGATAGCAACTGAATATGTTTGAAAGCACTTGGTACTTGTAAACACTAAGTACAAAATATTAGATACATGATTACATCTAGTATTTTTTTTTTTAAAAAATCAGTATAAAGTTTTAACAAAAGAATATTAAAAAAATTTATCATTCTTTGTTGGACTTTTTTATCATTCTTTGTTGGACAACAGTAGGCTGTTATGCTGTCACGACATTAGGCTATGTCTATTTACCATAATGAAAGCAAATCGTTTTTAATAAAATTTTATTTTTCCATGGAAAAAAATGCTACTTATTTCTCAAAAGCTTCTTTTTGATTTAATATTCTGACATTTTGTAGGACAGTAAATTACGTTTTTTTCAAAGACCTGCTTTATGATTTTATTTTCAATGTAGTAAGTAAAAAAAGGAAAGCTGAAGGTATCTGGATTGTCATAAATATTAATCCATTATGAAAAAAAAACATTTATTAAAATAGCTTATGCTACAAGAATATGGAATATTATGATAGGTAATCAAGAATAAATAAAGAAACTTTGGTATTACCTGGTACTTCTTAGTCATTATTAATAAAATTTTAAAAAAACGGTTCACAATTATATCTTGAACATAAGCAACATTTTGTTAGGAAAAAGATAGTAGCTTTTTTATTATGATAGATAATCAAGAATAAATTAAAGAAACTTTGGTATTACCTGGTATTTTTTAGTCATTATTATTAAAATTTAAAAAAAAAAACGATTAACAATTATGTCTGGAACATAATCAACATTTTGTTAGAAAAAATACAGTAGCTTTTTTATTATGATAGATCAAGAAATGAGTTATCAAAAATAAATAAAGAAACTTTGTGCAGTTCCGGCACAAATTCAATAATATTTTGATAAACTACACTGAGAACAGAATTTATGAATAAATTATTTTTGAAACTCAAAATTAATAGCTTATAAATACAAACAATAATGAAACACAAACAATATTGATTTACTAAGACTTACCTTTCAGATCTCGCTCTTTAGTATCTAATAGGGCTCGTTTTTCACGCAAAGTTGCTTGATTTCGTTCTTCCACTTTTGCCTGTAAATTAGCCAACTCAGTAGTACGCGCTTCTAATTGATCAGCTAAATTTTGGAGTGATCTAAAAAATGAGTTTTTGAATGTTACTGTCATACTAATCGGATGTGGGAGGGAAAACTATTTCAAAAATTGAATAACTCACTCACATCAATCATTGTTTTTAAATTCCACCTCAGAATTGTTAATTTAGAAATAAATTGAATAACTTCCAGTAAAAGATAGCTAAAATATCCATTACTTTTTCAACAAAAAAATGAAGCAAATGTCAAACAGAAGCTGCTGCATTCAAAATATTAAATAAAAATTACTAACTTCATGTGGTTGGTCATTTATTTTTTACTACAATTTTATTTTACTTTGCAAAGATTAGTTAGAGTACCATGTTTCATAACTATGTTTAATGTTGTTAATCATAAACTATGTTTAATGTTTTGGTTTATATTATATTAAAAAATGACATTATCAGAACATGGTTAGCATGGTCATAAAAGTATTCACAAAGTTCTTGTTAATTACTTTTTGTGTAAATGAAATAATTTGAGAAAAAAAAATTTCCCTTAAAAATGTCTTTAAATATCAATAAATACATTAAATTATCAAATGACCATTTCATTTCTTCTAGTACTTTGTACTGGTGAGTAGTTGTAGTTCTAGTAAGCTTTTTTTTTATTTATAAAAGTTAATTTGGTTAAGACCATTTTTTAAGGGAAAGTGTTTAATAGTTTTAAAATTTTATCAGCTTTAAAGGATTGGCCATAAACTTGAACTTCTTTACTTATATATAACGGAATTTATTATTTTTATGTCTATAACTACACATAAATTTTATGAGAAATTATCAAAAGAGCAAACACAAAAGGGAAAATAGCTCCCCGTTGTTGGTTTTGCCTTACTGTTATTCATAATTATATAAACCTTTACTGTTATCCATAATTATGTGAAAAAAGCCCTTCTTGTATTTTCTGAAGTTGACAGCAGCTGTCCGCACAAATCAAAAGAGAGAAGATAGCTTTCCAATGACAATTAATAAATTAGTAAGAAGTGTACTTCCCAAGGACTCATAACAGGTTAAATGCTTGAACTTAGAAAATAAAATAAAAAAGATGTCCCTCTAAAATAGGCTGTTGTGTAGTTGAGTAAAATTTAATATAGTCTTATTTTTTCAAAAGCATAATAAGAAAAGATGAGAATATAAAATCAAGAATATGAAAAATAAGTAATAAATACCTTCTTTAAAAAAAGCTACAAATTTATTAACATAAAAGTGAAAGCTTATGATAAAGGAAACGACGCAAACCTTGAATGTGCTTGAGTACTCAAAATTGCTTCAACTTCTTGATCTTTTAATCTATTCAGTCTCTGTAAAGCTTCCTCGTGATCTTGCTTCATTTGCTTGACAGACAGACTGAAATGGTGAAAAATAAGAGAATACTATAAACAGACTAAAGTGTGAAGTTAGAAGATAAATAAACATGTAACTAAAATCAAGTCTAGAATTAACATGTTGATGGCATTAAAGAATAGTGTACTGAATTGACAGAACACTACAGTTACAACTAATTTTATTTCATTTCATCGAGATTTAATTTCTTATGTTGTATGAGAATGAAACCAAATGTATGCATTTTTAATGCATGAGTTACTGATGTTTTCATCAAGGTCAAAAGGTATATAACAGTGATTCTTGCCAGACTGGTTTTGATACTGGTTTACTATTGCATACATAGAATCACTTTTGAATTATATTCTCCAGTGTTAAATCCCTCAACACAAGCATATAAAATTCAACTTATACAATGTCAGATTCAGATGTAAGAAAAATGCATTTTGCTTGCTAAGTAAATGATTAGATAATGCTTTCTATCCAAGCAAATAGGGATTTACATTATATTAGAATTCCCCAGAAGAAGTAGTTTTCTCTAGGAGAAAAATCAAGAAGTAAAATAATAGAAGAACCAAAAATAGTTTATTTTTCCATTGTAGCAATTTTAGTAAACAATTCCTAAAAATATATATATTAGATGAATGAGAATCTTCTTTCAAACTCATTCCTTTAAATGAATTTTAGAAAGTTGAATTTTGCTGCTTTTATGATGTCCTAGCAATAAATAATTTGTTTTATAAACATTATTTTAAGCAATTATTTTAACATCACTGTCTAGTGAAAAATTTTACATTTTAATAAAACAAGGAAAAAAGAAGTTGAAACATGACAAACATTTGTAAAATTACAACTTGAGAACATTCAAGATATAGTCCCACAGAACTACCTGACAAATTTGAAGAAAAAAAAATGCTTTTAACTATTTTCACTGAACAACAATAAACATTTGGCATGACCTAAAAGACTGAAATTTTACTCACCTTTCAAAGTCATTAACTGCCTTTGCTAAAACTAGACAAGTATGAAATATGCTGGGGAAAAAATAAGACTTTAAGTACGGCAGAAACAAAATGAATCAACAGAACTATGGTTGCTGATTCAACTTTTTAATAACATCACCGAAAAGTTTAAGACTTGTACCTAAGTAAATGAATACAGAAATAGTTTTGGGAATTCTGTAAATTGTTCTAAAAAATGGTATAGGTCCAATATGAATGTGAAGTTAACACCTTTCACTGAGGTGAGCTGCAGTCTCAATCTAGAACTTACTGAATTGAAGGAGTTTACACTTTGCTATCAAGACAAATGACATATTGTTTGGATGTTATGGATAGTTATTATGTTCAAAATAAGATATTAAGTATTTCTAAAACTGTTAATAAAAAATTGGTTTTGATTTCATTTGTCTTGGTTTTATCGCAGCAAAAAAAATGCATCAAAACAATTTGTGATTTGAAATTGAAGGCCGCAAAACAAAGCTCTTTGCCCCACTCCCTCAGTAAGTTCTAAATGGTGAATGTAGCTCACTCCGGGAAAAAGTTAAAATATTCATATTAGGTCTAAATCACAGTTTTTTTTTAAAAAACAATTCAGAACATTCTCATAACTATTTCTGTATTCCATTACTCAGGTACAGGTTTCAAACTTGGGACTCATAAAAAAGTTGAATTAGTAACTGTAATCTTTTGCTTTCACCATACTTAAGGCTGCTTTTCTAGAAAATTTCATATTTGTCTAGTTTTGGCAAAGACAGTTAATGACCTTCAAATTTGTGCAAAATTTCAGTTTTTTGCTACTTTAAGACCAATTCTAAGCTTATGTCATTAATACAAAACGCATGTTTATTTTTAGGTACTATTCATTGACATGCATTAACAGAAATATACCTTTGTGGTTCACTGTTCGTACCAGTAGACTTTGATGGTCAAAGTCTAAGAAAATTGCTGTTTTTTAAGAATTTTTAATGAACTTTGATGAAAAGGTTCAATGAAAGAATTTATTTCTTAATAGTTATTGTGAATATAGTAGAACATAAAACAATGGTCAGTTGCATTATTCACACACAGTATTTCCACTTGCAAATCAATCTGCTTTAAAATTCAAGAGAAAATAACTCCAGTTTTGACCCTCCAAAACTTCAAGGAAAAAAAAAATTTTGCAAAAATAAAAAAAACACGTCTAACAGTTTTCCTGAAAATTTCAAGAAAATAAAAAATGTCAAGCATACAAACCTGTCTGATTTGCCAGATTTTTTAAAAAAAACTGGTTCTTAAACTTAAGCTTTTAATTTTAAACTATGTATAGTATATTGCTCATAAAATTATCTAGACTTCAAAATATGCGAATAACGTAAACATCTTAATAATTATTACACATTTTGTGAGATTTTTCCTGTAAGATGAAAATCATAATAATCAATGATTATTTTTCAGTTTCTGCATATTATAATCTCGAAACAATGAGGCGTTGGAGTAACTTTTTAAATAGTAAACTGTTAGAGCATTAACGTTTTTCATTTTCCCAAAACTAAAGCTTTTTTAATATTGAGATTTTATAGCCATTTTAATAATTAACATAGAGGCTGGTCTACCAGCTGTTAGGCTTTTGCAGAGTTTTTTGCCGAATGGTAGACATCAAAAAAATAAAGCTTTCATAATTTTGCCAACATTTTAAAAGGCTGAACACAAGAGAACTGGAACAAAGTGGATTTTTATATGAAGTATTAAATCCTTCTCTTGTAGTAGTGAGAAAAATAACTTAAAACTAAATTTCCTAAACAAAGAATCATACATTAAAACATAAACTTTGTTATCACTAGAAAAAACTTTCTTGGAAAGCGTAGAAAGTTGGTATTCTCATAGAGGGTGCATGACAAAACTTAACCTAACAGTCATGAATAACTGTTACAAACTCACAGCAATTATAAAAATATTACAGCTATATTATTCATATAAATTTTACAACATATAATTCGCCATTCCATACAATGACTCAGTCTTCAAAGAACAACCTTAAACACTGATAAGAGTTATCCTACATTACAATGATACATGAAATAAAGCATCAGAACAATGATAAATTTTTATTAATAAGCAAAATTGTATTTGCTATCAAGTGAATAGAACAATCAATTTGACACATAATTCATACTTGTGCAAATCTTTAAGCTTTTGAATCTCTTTTAAATGCTGCGCCTCCATATCAATCGATTTCTCTTTTAAACTCTTTTCTAACAAATCTTTTTCCTTTCCGAAAGCATCTAGTTTAGTTTCATATACCTGAACTTTATTTTCTATGTCTGTCTTCAAGCTAAAAATTAAGTAAAATAATAAGCAGTCTAAAATGATCAGCACATATTTTGATAAAAAAATATTAAAGATATTTACTTATTTTCTAAGATCTTGAAGGATTCTTCTAAAGATTTAATTTGATCCCTAAAAATAAAATGTACAAATAAAAAAGAACTTTCAAATATTAGTGTAAAGAAAAACAGTAACTTAAGTCAGAGTACCCTTGCAACATTTTTTGTAAATAAAGGTTATAACCATTCATTTTGTGGATGCTTTACATGCTCATTTAACTTATAATCACTAATTTATCTTCAAAAAAAATAAAATTGCTTAATTTTTTTTAAATTTTTAAAAAATTCAAAATTTTTAAATCCCTAAGGCTTTTTTATTTTAACATATTTTCAATTTTTTTTCTTAGTGCTTACAATATTCATCTTACCAATTTTGTGCATTCATTTGTTGATACATCAATTAGAACATTTTTTATAGATTATTTTGTAAAAAAGTAGAAAAAACAGGTTAAAAATTCCTGTTAGGTATATATAACATGCTGTAAAAATTGTAAAACCTAATAAAATGCTTATTCCATGTACAATTTAAATAAGTGTACATTACACTTAAGATAAAAAAATTTTACTTCAAAGCTTTATCTTAAATAGAAAAAATTCTCCTTAGGGATTTAATTAAGATTAAAACACAAAATTATCATCTATAAGAAAAGGCACTTTAAAGTCTATCTGCTGATAATATTTCCGATTTAGGGCAATCTAAAATCATTCATAACTTTTTTTAAAAATGTAGATAGAGAGATGATTTTTTTTTCAGTGCATTTGAAATAGTTTGAAGTTTNGCACTTTAAAGTCTGTCTGCTGATCAAGTTTCCATTTTAGGGCAATCTAAAATCATTCATAACTTTTTTTAAAAATGAAGATAGAGAGATGATTTTTTTCCAGTGCATTTGAAATAGTTTAAAGTTTTATTATAAGCAATAAAAAAAATATCGATATTTTGGTCATTTTTTGGGTTTTGTGACCCCTTAAAAACATAACTTAAAGAAAAACGTTAGACATTAAACATAAACTTTTTTTAAAAAAAATCGCGTTAATTTACGATTTATGTCTTCTGAACAGTCAAGTATTATAGGAATAAATATTGTATACAAGTTTTTGAGAGTATAGAATTAAAAAAAAAAAGTCTATATTTTTCCAATTTTTTGCAGAAAAAAAATTATAAAATTTCACAGTTTTACACACAGATTATAATTACTTTTTCACAGATTATAATTAACTTGAAGAACCATGAATAAAAAATATAAGTAAATCAATAATCTCTAATAAATTCAAAATAAAAATAAAATTTAAATAACTGTTGGAACAAAATTGAAAACATTTTTCCTACAGTAAATCCAACTTAAAAAAGTTTTGTTTACATTAATCACCTGATTCTAACTAATTCAAAAAATGAATAACAATAAAACACATCCACTTGAAAATAATGAGTACAAAAGGTCCAAGAGAAAAATGTTCCTCGGGCAAAAATTTTGAAGTCAAAAAATTTAATCACCTTGTTCCAAATAGAGGTTACCAAATTTGTTTCTGTTTGTATAAACTTAAATAAATGTTAGTTAAGATTTTGTCAGCTCTCCTTAAAAAATACAACTGCTGATAAAAACTAAAAAAATAAATTACTAGCTTTATAGGAACTTTTTATGAGCATTAATTTTACCAAACGTTTATATATTTAACAGTAATTTTATTAATTTTTTAATTAGAGTAACAAAGTTATAATTTTTTCAAAAAAATTTAGAAAACTATTCGATTGTTAATAATTTTACAAAAGACATAACCCTTTAAAACAAGCAAATATTTCATTTATATGTATAATATATAGTAACTAAATTTTGCATACACTGTGTTAGTAAGAAAACCACAAATATTTGATGACTTCCTTATTAAATATGGGCTGTCATAAAAAGTTGAAGATTACAAAAAATTGTAAAAAATGGTTTAGAATAACAAACCTGCTCATGGCAACATAAATGTTTCTTAATAATTCTTCACATTTAAATAAGCCTTTTTTTCTTTCTTTTTTTAATTAAAAACCATTTTGAACATGGGTGTAAATTAAGTTCACCAGTAAAGTTTATCTCCAAAAAGTAGTACTATAACTATATTTTAAAAGTAGTTTGTTATCACCACATTAAAAAAAAGTAGTTGTAGTTAAGTATTGTAATAAAATAGTTGTAAGTAACTACAAAACAATTCAGTTTTTCCAACCAATTTTCATGTCTTAGTTTTAGAATTTTTTTTAAAGCATAATTAAGGCTATCCTATTTTGCAGAATAATAACTGAATACATTTTCAATGAAGGAGGTAGATCAGGTTCTTATATATGTAACGTTATGATATATAAGGTAATATTTAAAATAACCTTATATGCATTATAACTTTATATATAAGAACCTCATCTACCTACCCTCTCCTCTATAAGGTTATATTTGAAATAACATTATGCATATGGTTATGTTTGAAATAACCTTACATATTATGATATTTATATATTAAATTATATTTGAAAAAGAAAGATTTTTTGGGGAAATATCTTCATTTTAGACTTATTTAACTATACAACATTAACGAATTAATGAAAGTAGTGGCAATAAGTGACAATTTTGGAGTCTTAGAACATTTGGCAACAAGCAATTAACAAGAAACCTTAGTAAACCTGCCTTTTGATAGCACTATAAAATGCCGAGAGAGAATGCTTTAACATAAATAGTTAATAAATTAAAAGTATTTCTAGATCTCGCCAATCGAAAGCTTTCAGAAGCTAATTAACTTCAATTTTCAAAAAATGTCATTTGGAACCTTCATTCATTTCACTCTAAACTTTAAAAAAACTTGGTGGGGAAGAAAGCTTAAAGTGCATTTGGCAACAAACAGTCAACAAGCTACCTTAGAAAACATGTCCTTTGCCAGCACTTCGAACGATTAATAAATTTGATCAGTTAGAAGCTTGCAGAAGCTAATTTACTTTATTTCACAAAAAATGTAATCTAGAGCCTTCATCCATTCAGCTTTTCTATTATAATAAGTATATTAGTACTTGAAAAACTTTGGACGGTAAAAGTTTCAAGTGCATTTGGCAACAAACAGTCAGGTCAGAGAAAAAATTTTGAAAACCCACCTTTTGGCTGCACTTTAAAATGCCAAGAGTGTGAATGTTATAACATAAAAGTTCAGATACGTTAAAGATTTATAGATTTCACCAGTTGAAAGCTTGCAATAGCTAATTTACTCTAGTTCACTAAAATGTCATATGGAATCAATTATTTTATAATGAGTAATAATTGAAAATGCAAATTAATTCATTCCATTAGTATCTTTTTTTTTAAAAAAAAAATTATCGGCATAATTATTAAGTTTGTAACTAACTTGTGTAACATTTTCATAGTTTCAATTCGCTCCTCATACATTGATTTCATTGCTTCAGATGATTTAATTAGTTGATCTCTCTCCAAAACATGATTATTCATCTATATAAAAAAACATATGCATTAAAGTATCAAGATATACAAGTACTGGCAGTTTCTGATACACAATTCTTTTTAAATTTAACAGAAAGGAGGTGCTATGAATAATTTTTTTTATCATTAAAAGTTTTTAATAACAAAAATAATGTAAAGTTAAATAAAAATATTTGAAAATAACATAAATTTTTATCATAAAAAATAAGGTTTTAATTTAAAAGCAACAAATAATAAGGCTTCAAAATATACATACATTTTAATTTCAATAAAGAACTTGGGATACATTGAACCCTTGGTTAAAGTGAACGATTTTAGTGGTCCCATCTTAACTATTATTAACTTAACTATTATTATTTATCTTATTTCATATGCTTATAGTGAACAGCTAAGAAATTGGAAGTTCGTTTACAGTGAGCTCGAGTTTTCTTTTTGCAGGTATTTAAATTGATGTTACAAAGTTTTTAGTCAATGTTATATGTTCAAAAGTACATTATTATTATGACTTATAAGAAATAATGATGCAATTCACATAGTAAAGGAGTTCATTTTATTGAAATGAATAATGCGAGTGGTGCAAGAAGAAAATTGCTTTTTACTATGAGAAAGAAAAAATAATAACAGATGAAATTACTTGTGTCTTTTGAGTATTGCAAACATAAAAGCATATTAAGGCAAATAATGGGGCCCTGTTTTAAACATCTTAGATTCAAAAGTTTGTCAAAACCTTTTTATGTAAAAGCTAAATGTAGTTGTATCTAACCATAGCTGCCAACACGGATAGGAAAAAATCCAGTATATTTTATGAAATAATATAAATTTCATGATAGCAAAATCTACTAAATATTTTATACATAGGGAATTTTAGGGATTTTTATAGTCATCAAAATAGAACAACCATACTATTTTCCACTTATGGTTTCACATTAAATGATCTTGAAATGTTATGTATTATGCTTATTCATAATTTTGAATAGCAATAGGCATTTAATTCCTCTTAGATGGTTAACCAAATTTTATAAATAAGGCTTACTTTATTATGTATTAGTGATACTTATTTAAATATTCAATCAAGTAATAATCTGCAAAAAAATCCTATTTTAATAGGGATTTTTTAAGGAAACTTACTCAAACGTAGGGAATTTCTTAAAATGTACAAAAACCAGGAGAATTTTTATTAAACGAGTTGAACAGGAGAAACTTGCAAAATCCAGTAGTCTACTGGAAATCCAGTAGAGTTGGCAGCTATGTAACGAAAGCTTTATATATTTTCAAAAATTTAAATAAGTACGTATTTAAGCATAATCAAAATTTTACTTTTGTAAACATGAAAGAGAGATAAATATGCATAATTTACTAACAAGTGCTTGCATATTCCCTATATTCTCTAAGGTAGTATTATATATGGGTAATGCAGCAACTGTCTCCATATTCTTTTGAAGACCACGCAATTCATTGGGAATAATCTGTGGAAGCATGTAGGGTGCGTCAGACACTAAGGAACTCTTTTGAGGGGAACTAGTGTTCTGAATATTTGAAATTTCCTTTTCTGGTGCTGCTTTAATGGAAGTATTTTTTTTCACAACTGACAAGATACTGTCAGTTCCTTTTTTATTGTGTGTTTTTTCCAACACACCATCGGAGTGAGCATTTGTAAATTGCTTTCCTGGCAAATCCTTCAAAGGATTCTGAACTGCAACAGGACTTTTGTTTTCTTGATTTGAAATTGCACCAAAATCCTCGCTAAGCCAACCTGCATCAGTACTTGGAGCAGTGCGAGGACGTCTGGGCCTGCTAGAGATTCCTTTGGTGGATTCTGCCCCTGAGTTTTGAAATTCTGCACCAAGATTATTCTCTTTAACAAAAGATTCTTTTGCAGACGGATTTAATTTAGAAGGTGTATTAGGTTCACTTAATCCTAACCACTCTGAACCAGAACTCTTCCTCCTATTTGATAATGCATCAGGTGCTTCATCAAAACTAGTTTCTTTTCTTGTTGGTATTTTTACACTATCTTTACTCTTTTTAGGACTTTCTTTAAAGAAATTAGACCAGTCCATATCATCATCTTTAGAGGAAGTCATTTTTTCAGATCTTCGTGCAGTACGTGGAGGGGCAGAGGAAATACTTGAGTCAGGCTTGATGGAAAGATCTTCTGAGACAAAAGACGTAGCAGACTTTATACTTTGTGATTCTTGCGCTTCTTTGAAGCTGACTTGCTTAAGAAAAGTTTCTCTCTTCTTTACCGGATCTTTTACTTGATGCCTAAAATATTTAAATTATTACATTTGTTATTATTTTGCTGACAAAGCTTAAGACTTTGCAATATTGCCTTTTATATAAGCAGGGTTGCCACAGAAAAAAAATGAACAAAATAGTTAGTTGCTTTTAGTAGCCTAAAGCATGAAAATAGTTACCTAAAAAAGAACAAAAATTCATCAAAAATATGACTAAAATTTTATCAAATGACTTATTTGTCATATACCATGACCCATTTAGTCAAGTTGGTGGCAAATATGATAATTTTATATAAACGTTAGTGTTCTAGCACTAAATTTTTATATAAAAAAATTAATATATTTGTAGAAAATTAAATATTTTTAATTAATTAACTTACTTTTTCAAAAAATTTTTTCCCTATTATCAATAATTGATTTAACAAATATATATATACACCAAAGAGCCATTACATTATGACTACCCTCCATCTATAACAATGAGCTCACCCAGGAACAATGTTTTCATGGGGCACATTAGGACCCATAATCCTCATAGAACAATCCCTGACGTCTGTAAGCTACTTGAACATAGTTGCAGACCAGGTTCACCCATTCATGGCAACAGTTTTTCCCGCAGGGGATGGTATTTACCAACAGGATAATGCACCATGTCATAAGGGTCGAATCGTCGAGGAACATTCCAGTGACTTTCAAGTCATGTCTTGGCCCCCAAATTCACCTGACCTTAATCCAATAGAGCATTTGTGGTCCTACTTGGAAAACCAAATTCGTGCTGCCACGCTA